GGGCTAACCGTGACGGTTTCAGTGAAAAGACTTAAAAGTACCGGGATCAAAATCAAAGAAGAGAATTGTGTCTGGTAGCACATTGAACTCAGTGCAGCAAACACTTTCTTACTATGTAACCAACGTTATATATCTAAATTCCAGGATAAGGAATCGTTTATTTTAGAGATAGGAAATAAAATGAAGCAAATTAGAAAAACAAAGGAACAAAATGCAAATACCGACTTTTCAATTTGAGTGAGCCTCCATAGGCTACTGGTTCCTAAATAAAATCCTTTACAGTGCAGTGCTTTGTTAGCAGGAGGAACTCAAGATTTTCCTCGTATGCGAGCATGTCAAGTGATATTTTAACCTATCTGAGTAGTTACGTACACAGGTAGTGATTAACTTGTGACACACCATGACTCTCACCAAATAGCTTCATTTCAACACCCCATGTATTGTGAAGTTCACGAACACCAGTGTGCAAAGCAATACTCCTACATCAAACATAACTTTTTCATTCTGATATCCACCCTTGTAATTGATTCTTCTAGTGAAATAACCTATACAAAATGCAGGGTTTCTCTATTTCGATCAGGGCAAGTGAACTGAGCATCAGTCGAATAAAGTGTAAGAATTGATTCGTGAAAGTGACGGATAGGCATCATGCAACTTTTTTTATTTGAATTTCCCCAATACTTCGTGTACCGTACCTCTTTCATGAGCTTCCCCTCCTACCTTGAATACGCTACTTAAGAACATTGGTATTTATTTAAGATCAACATTGCCTCTAGTCTTTTAATATATTTCTCCATACAGAAATATGGCGTGTAGTCCAACTTTCAAAAGACCAAATGTCACTCACGAAAGCAGTCTGTCTCCGTATGATCTACGCTGTAGCACAGGCAGTCCTGATCAGTAGTTGGTGCAGCGAATGCTGAATAGAAGCACTGATCCGATTCAGGCTCTTAAATTCTTCACAATTAAATTTCATAAAGCTCTTATCAAAATACGCTAAACGTTGAAACTAAATCTATTGGGCTCTAGGTTTTCAATTAACTGTAATAAAGTTTAACCTGAGAGCGTTACAATTCAATCAAATGAAATACAACCTGTGTATTGATAAAAATGTGAATTTTAGGTTCTGACTACATTCCGGGGGAAACATTATTCGGCAGACGATGACTGATTTTCTTGTATGAATCATGTTCCTATCATTATTTATGTCGAAAATCTATTGGGATAAGCCAGATCAAACAGATCAATAGTGTTTAGCTTTGGTGAAGTTCTTAATTTATTGACTGTCAGTGAAATCATTTTTATTGGTCAACAAACAAAACAAAGATTATTTTCGCAACTGCATAAAAGTAAAACAATAGAATAAGACCCTGGATTTCAAATAACAATTTTAAAACTAGAAACCTTTTCGGAATAACCTTTCGAACCCATGCCACATTGAATCACATAATCCGACCCCCGTTTTATCAAAGCTCTGTCGAAATTGCTCGAAATACCTGGTTTATTTTTTCCTGACAGGATTGAATTTATTTTCCGGGAACCCAGGACTTTCATGGCCTAATAATGTTTGTCCCCTGGTTCACCAATGGTCTGTAATTTCGACCTGTTTCGGACGTTTTTCCGGTTGGTTGCTTGTGAATGTGTATTATAAAACCAGCGAAGTACCCTGTGCGCAACCCTCGATCAAACAGACGCAATTATATTTGGTGAATGGGGGGAACTGACTTACACATGTTTGCACAGTCTAAAGAAGAAGAACTAATTGGGCAATATATAGTGTCATAAACAGATGGCAATTCGTCGAAATTATAATTAGTTCAGATGACATTTTTGCGATCAAAGAACTTATCTAGGCGACAAGAAGAAGATGAGATTAAAATGAAATTTGTTTAACTCCTCTGATAGTTGTACTTCATGTCAAATGCAGAACCGAGCGAAATTGATAGGAATCAGCAATCCGTATACTAGTAGTGGCTAAAACAACAGTCCTTTTTATTTCATTAAATGACCAATTACAACGAGATTATGAACCTAAGAGAATAAACGAGTGATGTATTGGAGAACACAGCATGAATGTGAGGTAGAATTAATTCACCAAGCCAAAGAAACCAGTCTGTATTCCTAATTTCCCTATTGCTGACAATCCAGCGTAGATAATAAACAGATCGAGGCCTATAATGCATTTTATTTGCGCTGTCGAAAATTGTTTTTCCACTCATTACTGCTGGAGGGTCACGCTGCTTAGGGAATCACCATAAACATCAAACTGATTGTATCTGACAATACTAGCCAATCGCTGGGCAACGGAAGAATCGCAAACGGAGTAACTACAGTTGTGTATTAGTCATTCAGAGTACATAAGACACTCGTCACTTCAAAGTAGTCTACCGCTGTTGCTTACTTAACAGTGAGTGCATATTCACTGAGTCGACAGATATTCAAACCCGATCACTACAGTTTTGTCAACCGGACGGGCCTATTAATTGGGTTATCCAGGATGGCTCGCAGAGGTTTGCCACACATCATTACTAGTAAATGTATTTATACCTTACCCGACAGCGATTGACTCTCAGCGACTGTTGCCCACGTGTATGAAATAAATCGCTCGGTTGACATAGTTACGTCATCCTAGCCAATTTATTCAATCGGAAGGCGATGATAAAGTAAGACCAGAAATGGTCTACGGTCCACCACGGAAGCGATCGATAAGCGACTCAACAGGCAAGCCATCACTCTTCTTTGTGAATCGATAAACGAGTTATCAGAGCTCTCAGGAGGCCACAACTATCACTACTCTCCAGCCGAATCTGGGCAACCGTCATTTTAAATCATTAAAAAATCACAATATAGATTACGTGACTGTTAGATCTCAACGTGGAATTACATCTCAAACCAACCACTCCTGTTCTCCTATTTTGTGCTCTAGATTTGGCCAATATTTGACCGTGATGTATTTAAGTAGTTAATGAAAAACCCAGAGGAAATTAGGTAAATTGAAACCAGTGAGCTACTTATCTAAGAACTAGTAATTCACTAAACAGGAGCGCTTTACTGACTTCGGAGGCATATATTTTAGCTTCCGTAGCTCATTACTAACTCATCACAGAGTCCAGTTGTTTCTTTGGCATACTCTTAGATAACTCCATTTTCCTCTGGTTCAATACGACTCCCATTAAAGGAGAGCCTTATATGGTTCACTGGCTCACAAATGACAACAATGGGTTCTAGGAAGGGGATGGAGAAACCCCCTCGTTCCAAAAACCCTATCAATTGTCACTTGAAATCATGGGTCATAAAACTGACGAGGCCGTCAATCATGAGCAAGTGTTTTTAGCGAAGATTTGGGGAAACTAAAAGTGTAAGTGATGATACCGTTGACCACACGTACAACGTATTGTGATTTAAAACAAGCAAAACGCCAGAATGTTTTGTTATCTTCTCTTATGTCAGGGATCTTTAACCCTGCTCAGCATTCAACTGAGCAAAATGCTCCCTATATTATCACGCCCCGGCGCAAACCCCAACTAGCGGGTTGATCAAACGCCTTCGATCCCTCATTTATTTCCACGCTATGTTCACTTTGATTCCTTTTCTTACAAAGACTGGATTTAGTCCGTGAGACCGCGAACGTCTGCCTGATTTTACGTCTCTTGATATTCTTCTCAAACGAGTCCAACTACAGAACCGTGGCGTTTCACGACTAAACCAAACAATTTGAAATTTCTTAACTTAAAACATTAGTAGACTGAGTTAATTTATGGCACTTTTCTGCAGTAATTTACTTCACGATACAAGCATTTAATTCGAATTTGAAAAAATGCACAAAATATGCATATAATTATTTTTACAACCAGTTGTATGGAACGAATTTTCACAGACATATTGAGCTGCCTAAATTGCGATTACGCATGTACATTTACCACGAAACGAGAGTAGGCGATGTACGAAACATCTGTACTAAACAAACATTCTCAATCACAATTACAGTTAGCAAAACTCTTCTCCTGTGAACAACAATTGTTCTAACTGTTTTAAAAAGCACTCAAAAAATTTACATTTGTTTAAAATCGGATCCGTGTGTACGATTAGGCCTGATGCAAACGCGAACAAAAGGTGCACTAAATGCCAATTCTATTCGAGTTGTTCCATAATTTTACAGGAATGTTATTTTATGGTAACCCATATTTTTCACAGATTCCGTGAACAGATTGTCTGGCGTTTAAACTAGTCAAATTTGTCTTCATTGGAACAGGAAATGTTTTTTTATTTTGAATACGAAATTCACGTAAATCTTTCAAACTGATTTACATTAACGGATTGTTAAGTCAGCGACCCTGTATGGTTAGGTAGTTTCCGGTGTTTTGGTAACCATTATTGACCGGGTAGAGCGTTCAAAAGCCATCTATTCCCATTCAGCTATTTAAATGAGCCGTTCAGATTGTCGTTTTTTCATTACACAATTTTGTGGTGAACAGCAAACTGAATGAACCCAATAGTTTAGTAATGGGAACCGACAATCTAAAACGACGGACTTCGACTGGCGAACTACAAAAGGTCGATCAGAGTTGGCCTGNTGGCCTGGTGCTGAGTCGGATTACAGCGAAGCTGTTCATCACTAAAGTTAGGTATCACTGAGAAAGGTTTTAAACTTATATTCTAAAAGAACTGGCTGACAACAGCCTTAACAGATAGACCAACAAATTCTGATTACTGCGGATACACCCAATATCTTCACGAATCCACTGATTAAACCGTTTATTACGTGTTGTGTGATATTAAATAGCTTCTCCGAATATCGAACTTCAGCCTTGCTGGTTGATCCACGTAAAACGAACCAAGTAAATTGATGATAAAAATTTGCAATGAATATTTTTAACTGTTGGTTTGTTCAATAGAATTAGATACCCTCGCTGAACGACTCGTGGCGGATGAATGCACGAATACGATTGATAAGTTTTAGTGGAAACTTTCAACTAGACAATATTTTGAATAGAAAATTCTTACTTTTCAACACATTCGGAGCTCCATACATTTCCATGGACGGGGCACACGCAGAGACACAAATCACCTCCCGTCACACCGCCCTGTGGAACAGATGACGCAATCCCAGGCATCGGATCACGTGTTTTTTTATAATTCAAAGCCCGTCGTGCAGCAAAAGCGGCTGCTTGAGCTCCGATTCGAGCAGCATTGGATCGGTTCAACGCAGCTTCTTTGTCACAGTTGTGATTGTCAAAGCGTCCACTAGATATCGGGGCACATTGTTTCAATTCAGGTAGTACAGTAGATTGGGAAAGGTATTTACGATAGTCCGTCTTCACTGTGTTTATCAACATTATAATAATCACCGGTCACTAAAATCACTCTCTGTGTTACAATCGGGGCGAACGGTATCAAGTTCCGCAGTCCACGAAGTGGAATTATCCGTGTGTGCTTCCGTCAACCATTCGTGTGGAATATATTCAATCCTGCAAGGGAAAATTGCGACAGATGTTAGCACAATCAGCATACTGCTCTAAACTACTGCCAAATTTATAGTAGTTAAGCAATAAATGCATATGATATATTGCACTAAGCTGTGCTTTCGGTGAGAACGGTGGGGCTTACAAATTCGGCCGTCCTTGTTATCTTCGGATATTTTTTCGCGATTTTGTAGTGGAAAACTGCGTTATCTTCTCGATATTATCGAATCAGTTCATTTAGTTTTCAAGTATTTATGCTGTCCTACGGTCGCGAATTTTGGACATCCATGTGTTTATCACCCATAAACATCAATTTTGGTCTTTTGCGCACTGTGAGGAAGGGTTACCACCGACTAAGGAAGAAGGGATAAGGACTGTAAATAAAACGTCGCGCTAGTTGAAGGCTCGTTTTTAGGCTGCGTTCTATCAATAGACTGGCCGTTCTCGTTATTATGTCTAGCAACATTCACTCACTTATGCGAAAAATTGATGAAATCAAGAGTATGATGTACCAAAACGCGTGCACGAACGTTGGAATTATTATACTCCAAGAAAATTCGTTACATTCTGAAACGGAGAACAGTGTTGTCCGGTTTGATGGATTTATATCTTTCGAAGTGATAGGAATGGGAAATTTAACAAAAGCGTTGGCGGAGTGGTTACTTTTGTCAACTGTATGTGGTTTAACGACTCTCTTCTTTTGTTTCATTTTAAAACCAGAAAAAATAAACTGCATTGTCGTACAATATAAACCCCATTTTCTTAGTAAATTTCGTCATATCATGCTTGCAAGCATTTACATTGCCGATGATTTAAATTGCTTCGATATTTTCTTTGTTGTGTACATTAGGTTTGATTAATCATCTGAACTTGGGTCCAGCTGAACAGCACTTTGGCAACTATGCTGGAGGTCTTCTTCATAGAGAAAGGAGCCTCTATTGGCACATTCGGTCACTGTATAATTCTTTGGCACTCTAAAATCTATGGAAAACTTTATCACTGTCAACAAGCACATAGCTTCCCGAACAATAAGAAGGAGGAATTGTAGCCCCGGCAACTAATCTACACTCTAGGATATGATTTATTTACTTGATTTTTTCTGTTTTCTCTAATGAAAATGATACTTCCATTCCACCAGCTATTTTAATTTCTGCTTTGATTTTGAGGCTCACTGAGATTAAATGTCCGTAAGGACAGACTTCCATCGTCTCTTTTAAAACGGCTTCGTCCTGATAAGTAAAAAGGGATCTTCAAAATATCATGCGATTGCTTGTATCTCAGACCTGTTGAAAGTCTTTGAAGGAGGACTTTTGAAGCGGATAACTACCCTCTTTGATGTTCTCGATCCTCTTACAACCATTCCCTTTCAATTGTTGATGCCATCATTTATTTTGTTCATCCTATCGCCTCAGTTGTAGATAGGGGTGGTGGAACTGTTCGCCTTATTTTCATTGTTTATCCGAATACCTTTGGTTTGCTTGACTTTCGCATTTTCATTCCACGTCTTGCTGACTACTGCTTAAGTCGCTGTCTCTGGGATTATTTTAGACCTGCGACCGACGCCACGACTTAACTTCAGTAGCAGGAATCCCATTCCTACTTTTTGATGCTTATGTTATTCGTCACTCAACAGCTCCAAATCTGGGTTGCTGGTTGTCATGCCCACGGGTTTATTCCCATGTGATATTAAACATAAATTAGAGCATGACAAAATATCTAATATAAAGTAAGCCTTTTCCTGGAACCATCTTTTATTTTCACATAAAATGTACATGTGCAGTCGGTCTCCGCTTAAATACCATGGGTCTCTATGTGAATCTTGGTTGGTTGCACCACCGATTCACGCAGCGTTTGTAACGCGAGGATCTGAGGGCTGTCAATGAGAATTATTTGCAAGTAAATAGCCAAAACTATTACAAGCGTCATTGTTTCACAGTTCGTCGAGTACGATCACACACAGTGAGTGTGACTGAAGCATTTCGGCCTTTCTACTGTGTTTTGGGTGTCAGATTAAAGCCGATTAAAAAGCGGATTGCGTACACATAATACCCCCCTTTGTGTGCCCAGAAACAATCTGTGAAGTCACTCAACCTACCATGGCCCTCCATCCCCTCCCATTCTCAACCTCCGCCTCCCCTTATCAATCCCAGCCCAAGTAACACAAGTAATACAGACCAGAAGTAAGTACCGACCGTAGAATCAGTCATATTCGGCTTTGTGAAATTGAAACAGAAAACAACAATAACAACAAGCTCCATTTGAATAATCAATAAGTTGGCATCCTCTTTTCTATACAAAATGATGCGAAATAAAATATGACCTATTGGCTAGTTAATGAGTCACCGAAAAAAGCTGGTTCGCTAAACTGAATTTTTCATTGAATGCAAATCTTTTTCTGTCTACTTACAGCGAAAACCTTGCGATCTGTGACTACAGCATTCATCTGAGAATCATATTCAAGTATATAGCTTCTGGCATTTACGCATATATTTCGATTAGTCAGTAGAATAATACAAGGCCTAGGCGGATGTTGAATGAATGTCTATGTGCAAAATGTTTGGTTGACAACAAGCTGTGGGCTTACGATAATTGGATAAGGGAAAGCCGGATGAAAGTGTGTGAACGGGACACGATATGAAAGGTGTTAGTCAAGAATGAATAAAACAGGTGTGAAAGTGTGCGAAAAAGAAAGTGAATGTGAATTGGGGGAGGGAGAGAACAGAAAGTGTCATATAGAGATATGGGAAATTGTTCTTATAGCCATGGTAACAGCAGCGCTTGAACCAGATTACGTTGCTTGCCCAACTCCGGCTTCATGATCTTAATTGCCATAGATTCAACATTTGTTAGGATCTTCTTAAGTAATCCCTTGGTTTCATTCTTAGGTGCAGTGAAGAAACTTGTAAACTCTGTTTCTATGTCAATCCTGTGTCCACTCTCGACCACATGTTGCAGGATTGAACTGCTCAGGCTTCTCGCTGTTCCTTTTCGAAGAGCTGGGGGACAATGTTCAGATA